AAATGACAAGTAGAATCAATAGGACTCAAACCAGTGTGCTGATAGCCCAGTGCTAGTGTTGCAAGTACAAATGGCTTAATAACCTGCCAAATAGGGCCCAGCATGATGGCTCAATGGCTAAATCCTCACCTTGAACATGCCAGGATCCCATATTGGCATCAGTTCTAATCCTGGCAGCTCTAATTCACATCCAGCTCCTTGCTTGCCACCTCAGACAATAGTAGAGGACAGCCCAAAGCCTTGGGGGACCCTGCAGCAGTGTGGGAGACCAGGAGGACCTGGCTTCATCTGTGGCAACACTTCGACTTCTGACTAGGTGAGTTGATTGGACACTCTGCAACCTTATCTTCGGGTTTATAACAGTTGCTTATTGTCTGCTTCCCCTGCTACATTGCAAGAAAGCAGGAAAGTAGCTATCCAATGCAGGAAAACTTTCTCATTGTATCCCTAAGCAAAGTGTACCAAAAGTTTGTAATTAGTCCCAAAGTGAAACATTGTATTGTGTGTAAACCACATTATACAACCCAGTTTATGCTGTTTTCTGACTTCATAAAATGTTAAGCATTTGATTTTAAACACTTCTTTCTTATTCACAGGCTTTATTAAGATTCAAACAGAGCTGAAAAGAAATATTAACAATCTGCAGTTCACACTGAAATAAATATAAACATTTCATTTAATATAAACATTGTAAAATACCGTGAAAATATACAAAGTGGCAAAAGGTGATATTAACATAGAAACTAAAATTCCTTCTTCCCATTCTCCAATCTTCCAAATTCTAACAGTTTAATAAATCATAATAAATCACAACAAATCACAAGGTTATGATTGTTTTTATTGATTTGGTTTATGCGCTGTGGACATATATTGAAGTTAAAGCCTCACTGAAGTTAAAGGCCTGACACTTTATATATATAATAAAATTTAGTTGAGACTGGGCTCCAAAGCACCTTTTCATTTATTCTTTCCCAATAAAATACTGCTCAAATAAGCATACATCCTGTTGCTCACCAGAACTTAATAGTCTTATCTTGCAAATAAAGTATGTATATAATTAAACAGTTGGTGAACATATAGAAGGTAAGAACAAATAAAGCCCCCAAAGTACTGCTGTGTAATGTGTCTACCGTCAGATTGACCAGGCCAGTGGTTACATTTGAGAGCAAGAAAAAAGTCAGCTGGTTTTTGTTCAGAGCTGTGATTAAACAAAAACTGGGTTCTTTTCTATCAGCTCCAGGGACTAGAGACCCTGCATGCTTCTTATTTGTAGTCGGTGACTGGATAAGTTCCCAAGAACAGGGTACCAGAGCTGCTTTCATCAGAAATTTTGCAAAACTCAAAATCATATCACCCAGTAATAAACAACCAAGAAGGATCAAGCTAGAAGCAACTATCCAGATACAAAAAGCTAAATTGGCCATTCTTCTAGACACTGGTTCTATGTTTACTTGAACGATGTGAAGAGATACAAAGAGGCTAATGGCTGCCAGAAGAAGACAACATCCTGTTTTTATCCAATATTTGGTATCTGATCTGCGTTTTAGCACAAACAACCCCGTCTGCAAGCCAGCCATGTGGATCGCCACATATCCCAAGGTAGAGATTATTCCTTCCCGGTTGGCATTAAATAAACCAACTCTTGAGCCGCTGCCGTCAGTGCCATATAGAATTAATCTCTTCAGTGGAGTAAAGTCAAGGGCTAGCTGATACAATACAATAGTGCTAATGGCTGCAAACCAGGATTTATTTAGAGGGAGAACAATCAAAAGCAATGATGTTAACACTTTCACAACTATTAAGGTGAAGAAAAAGTTCCAGTGAACTCCATACTCCGTTACATGTTCCTGATAGCCTATGGATTTTATAATGACTAACCGTCCCATTCCGAGTAAGAGCAATGGCCAAACAGAGTACAAGGACTTTGTAAAATAGTAAAATCTGGACCCATCCAAATATTTTCTCTTTCTGACCTCTGGACAAACGATTGCAGTTCCAAAAACAAAGGCGCCCACTCCATAATCCATTGCTCCTGTCCCGTAGAGCTCAGCTTTAGCAAACCTTCTAGGAAAAAGTGGGAAGTCCACAGCCAAAATGGCAATGGCAGTAAAGACACTGTTAACTACACGGAAACAAGACACGGCTGGAATGTATTCTGATTCTAGGCTAATTTTCAAGAACTTCTCAAGAATTTTCTGGACAGGTAATCTGGGATAGCAAGTCCTTTTCCAATATATCTGATAGAACAGCCCTGCCCCAAGGAGAATTACAGTGAGATTCTCCAGGATGATAAAGGAAGACAAAACAGTTAAAGTGGCCACCATAGGAACTACGAAGCTGACAAAGTCAATGAAGAATCGCATGCTCCGGGTATCTGAAGGAGAACCCACGAGCTGCAAGAAAATGATGAGGAGCCCCCTGCAGAGGATGCAGAGCGCCGGATAGCACAAGCCCTGGGTGACTTCAAGCACGCTGGTTCCATTGTGGTTACTCACAAAGGCCTCCTTCATCTGCTTTTGAGACATGTTTTATTTATTTTTTTTCCTCCTGTAAAAAAACAAGAGCAAAAAGAAATGAACCAGGGGAAAGCCACACTTGTGTGGAACTGGCATACTGACACACCTGATGACTGTACCATCATCCGTAAGTTCCAGAGCAGAACTTTACACCCTAATGATCTCACACCATGAGCAGAAGCTGCGACCTGTTGTTCCTCCTTCCAAGGCTTGTGGGATGAACTTTAACACTGATGCCTTAGGAGAGGCTCGTCACACTAACACTACGAGACTGCTATTGTTTAGAAAGCTTCGGGTATAGTAGAAACACATAGGGTAGAAACATAGGGTAGAAACACAAAGATGAATTTGAAATGTAAACTTGAGAATAGCACCAGACAGGGACTGCTGTTACACAGCAATAGTACTAACTGCTGTGAAGCTCAGCCATGAAAATAGCCTGCACCATGCCTTTCAATTAAATGTAGGCAAGAGGAGAAAGGCGTGAGTATCGGCACTTTGGGGTCTGCTAGACGAGTTTGGTACAAATTCCAAGTTATTCAGTGACCCGAATCTCAGCTTACTCCTTTCCTGGTTTTCAACCAGGCACATTTTTCAGGCTAAGATACTGGTACATAAAATGGAGGCATAAATGGAGGTACATACTGGTGTAGCTGCTTTTCTTTCAAAGATTTATCTGACCGGCAGAGTTACATAGACACGCAGAGACAGGAGTCCTCCACGCGCTGGTTCTCTCCCCAAATGACCACAAGGACCAGGACGACGCTAGGAACCTCTCCCGGGTCTCCCACGCAGGTGCAGGAGCTAAAGTGAGCCATCTTCCACTGCTTTCCCAGCAGTATTAGCAGGGAACTGGATGGGAAATGGTGCAGCCGGGTTTCAAACCGACATCCAGGCACTGCAGGTAATTCAACCCGTCACACTGCAGCGCTGTCCCATGCCAACGCCAGAAAAGCGGTACTCTGCAATGCGCTAGTCAGTACGAACCACACTGAATCTACAAAATGAATGCACACATGCATTTTGGGCTGTCTGGGCCCTGCAACAAGCCCTCACCGTAACCGGCTGATCTTTAAAAATAAGAGCCCTTTTCGTCTGCCACCGCTCCGCCAGGCCCTGACGCCTCGCGTGTTCCAAGTGGTCGCCCAGGAGGCTCAGGACGCCGCGCTGACCACCCGGAAGCGAGCGGCTTCCGGCTGGGCTAGCAGCACTTCCGGCGGAGGCGGGGCCCGCGGCTCTTCCGGGCAGGGAAGCTTCGCGCGCCCGCGCAGGAGGCGCCCGTTCCCCATAGGTCGCCGCTTCCTCTTTGCTGTCCGGCTTGGGACTCAAAAAGCCTGGGTTCTTGCGGGAGCCGGCTTCGGGCTGGCCCCTCATAGGGCCCGTCTGTCGCCTCACAGCACTCCCCTGTCAGGGTAATGGGGTCTGAGGGACATGCACCACATTCTGCCGCGATGAGCTCCTCTGAAAGAACCCGTGGCCCGGACAACGCTGTGGCTCCCCAAACCACGCAGGAGGCTGCCGAGCCACCCTTATCTTAACGCTAGAGAAGCCGTCTCCTCCGGGACGGAGCCTGCCAGCCGGCTCCGGCGCGTCCCGGGTGGGCCACGTGCGCCCGGCTCCGCGTGTTCGCGCCCCGCCCCGGGGGAGGAGCCGGCCGCCGGCCCCGGGTCTCGGCTGAGCCGCAGGCTGGCCGCCGCTCGCCGGTGCCCGCGCTCCCTTCCCAGGCGCTCCCGCCCCTTCCCAGCGCCGCCCAGCCTCTTCCCGCCGCCTCACGCGGCCCGCCCGTGGGCTGTGCGCTCGGCTGCCTGCGCCGTGGGACCGGTGAGTGCCACCTGCAGTCCAGATCCGAAGCCCTTCGCCACCCCGAAGGTGTAGGGGAGACTGGTTTCCAAAAAAGCCGTTTGCCTCTCCTCTTTCCTTGGGACCCTGTCGTGTCCTGAAAGAAGCTAGCCCAGCTCCTGACTCTAGTCCGCAGCAAGGACCTTTCCTGGTCACTCTCCAGCGTGCTGGCAGGGGAGGGTCCCTGCGGGCGGGCTGAGGCTGGGCGCCTGCTCTCGCCCTACTCGGCCTGGGAGGAGCCGGCTGACCCTGGGAGGCATCAGGAACCGCCGTGTCCTTGGCTGGGGTCATATCCACCTTCCCGGGAAGGACGTGGGTTTCCCGTACCAGGTGCTTCCGGAGCGGCATCACAGCCCTGGCCACGCCGGTTCAGAGAGTCCCAGCTTCGTGCCAGGAATAGGGGCGGGATCGGCTGTCCTGCCAGGACCCTTCCCAAATCTCAGTGTCTGCCCTCCCACTGACCTTGTCCTAGGGGAGAAAGAAACTGAGTCTGGGTGGGAGGCGGAGCGTACATCAGGTTGGCACTTGCCCTGTGTTCCACCCGTTCATTACCGAATCCTCTGCCCACTGTGGTCACACCCTTTCCAGAAATGCTTGGCTGGTAACCGCAAAGCAGACAGGAGCTGGAGCTGAAGCTGGAAGAACTGGAGAAAACTGCTTTCATCTGACTTCGGCTGGAAACTGCCACTGCATGGTAATCACCAACATTTGCGCATTGGATCCTTATTTTAGCACATGTGGTCTCGATATTAAGCTGTTCTTTCAAACAAGGAGAGGCTGGCGAGCTCTTACACTCTAGTCTGTTGGAGCTAAGAACGTTGGTGTCTAACCTGCCCTCCGCTCTTGACTGAGATGAACTTGCACTTGAGAGAACTTTGCTTTTGAGTTTCCAGAGCCTTCACTATGGCTGTCTCTTGGACAGGGTATAGGCAGTGTCTGGCTCCTTTTCCAGTTTCCATGGCAGCCCCTACCCCTGGGTTCTCTGAACACTAGCGGTCTTCAGCGCCTTAGGGAAAGTCAGCAGGGTGAACACATTTCAGACACCCCTCATGTTCCTTCTTGTTGGGGGGGCCGGTAGGGAGGGGAGCAGGGATGGGCACCACTATTCAGACAGAGCTAGGCCCTGCCAACCACACTCCCTCTCAGATTCTCCTGTCTTAAATCATGGACTTTCCCACCTGATGGATTGTCAACCTTTGGTTACAGTGCTAAACTGGGTTGACCCTTTAAGTGTTCCCACTTGCTTTTGTCCTATGCTTTCACACCATGACCTCATTGACCTTCACAACCATTCCTCCTGATTTAACAATCCCCATTTTCATTTTTTGGGGGGGAGAGGTTCTTTTTTTTAAAGCTTTATTTTTATTGGGAAGGCAGATTTTACAGAGAGGAGCAACATAGAAAGCTCTTTCATCTGCTGGTTCACTTCCCAAATGGCCTCAATGGCCTGAGCTGAGCCAATCCGAAGCCAGGAGCCAGGAGCTTCCTCCAGATTTCCTACAAGGTTCAGGGTCCTAAGACTTTGGGCCATCCTCTACTGCTTTCCCAGGCCACAGGGAGCTGGATCGAAAGTGAAACACCCAGGACATGAGCTGATGCCCATATAGGATCTCAGCAATTGCAAGGGGAGGATTAGCCAGTTGAACCATCGTGCTAAACCCAACTATCCCTGTTTTCAAGGTGAGGAATTAAGGCAGGTGATATCGCTTAACCAAGTCAAACACCTTGGGATTCAGCTGGGATTTCTCTCCCACTCATCAGCTGTTACTGGAGCATCAAGAGTTGATTCCAGCTTCTCCCTGCCAACTGTTGGCTGTGCTGCAAAAGCACATTATTGTCCAGAGGAGAGGATAAGGCATGAGACCTCTCCGTTTCCTTAGTGTATGCTACATCCTCCACTAACTCAGAAGATTTGCATCCCATGCCAACCAGAAACCTGTAATAAAACACCCTTGCATTTCACTGCAGGGAAAACATTAAGAAGTAGCCCAGGGATCCTCTGGAGGCACTCATAAAAGTTTCTCCCATCCTCTAATTGGCAAGGACAGACTTTCACTCTGCCCAGGCCTGCCCTAGTTCTCATTGCAGTTTTGCTTAGTGGGAGGAGCAGGCTGGCTGAGTCATCCAGGAGAAGCCCTCCTCTGTGTGGGTTTTTGTCTGCTCTTTCCCCCCTTAGGCTCTGGGATGACTCCTTTCAGATTTCTCCAGTCCTGGGTGGAAACCATGCTCCAGCCCACGCTCCCATGTCCAGGTAGACAGCAGGCCTTGTGCCTGCAACCCAGAACCCTGGCTGGCCACAGTGAAGCAGGATGTTCCAACAGGTCAAGTCTTAGCCTTCAAGCACCTGAGGCTTACGTGGGAGACCTGTCTGTTTTTTTCTCTTATGATAGTCATTCCACTGCTTTTTACTCATCAGCGAGAAGCTCTTCCTGACGCCTAATTTGAATGTCTTCTTGTTGTTTATAGCTCTTTTTTCTAGAGATGGGTAAGGGACTCCACAGGCTGCTTTCCAGGAAGGATTCCTGGTGCCTATCCCTGTCAATGGAATTGTTCAGGCTCAGTGGAAGCCTCAAATTTCTAAAGGAGGTATGCGTTAAAAAGGAGCTGGCACAGTGACTCAACAGGATAATCCTCTACCTGCATCACCAGCATGCCATATGGATACTGGTTCATGTCCCAACTGTTGCGCTTATGATTCAGCTTTCTGCTTATGACCTGGAAAGGCAGTGGAGAATGGCTCAAGTCCTTGGGGTCCCCTGCGCCAATATGAAGCTCCTAGCTTCAGATTGGCTCTGATCCCGTCATTGAGACCATCTGGGGAGTGAACCAGCAGTTAGATCTCTCTGTCTCCTAAGTCTGCCTTTCACATAGTAATAAATTAAGTAATTTAAAACAAGAATACAAATAAAACAGCCCAGGTCAAGAGGTCAGTCTATATAAAATTGCCAGAGGTCACTTGTTTGGAAAAAGAGAGGGGAGCTAATAAATTGCAGGCTGTGTGGAAGCTCCTTTATTCCAGGCCTCTTAGATTCCAAGTCACCTTTGCTGTGGAGCTCTGCCTCCTCATGGCAACCTGCAAGTGCAGCACCTTATCTAGAGATAACGCCAGGGCATGCTTGCTAGATTTCTTTAAAAGATTTACTTATTTGAAAGGCAGAGTTATTTTTCCCTCCCTAAATGGCCACAATTGCTGTGACTGGGCCAGGGTGAAGCCAGAGACCAAGAACTCCATCTAGGATTCCCATGTGGGTACAGGGACCCCAAGCACTTGGACCATCTCCTGTTGCCTTCCCACCACGTTAGTAGGGTCAGAACTAGAGCAACTAGGACTCAAACCAGGGATCCTTTAAGGGATAGGGATTCCAGCCTGTGAGTTAACCCACTAGGTCAGAATGCCCACCTTTCTTTGCTGGGATTTCCTCTTATTAATTTTGGGCAGACACTGAGCTGATGCAGCTCTATGTTATCTGCTTTTACGGTGCTCTCAGGCTATTGGAGTCTTGAATAGGGAAGTACCTTAGAAAGTTAGAGAAAAGAAGCCCACATGCTTGTCTGCTCTGGATGGGAAGTTGAGCAGCTGGATCAGAGACAGTGTCCAGGGCCCGGTGGTGTGGCCTAGTGGCTAAAGTCCTCACCTTGAACGTGCCAGTATCCCATATGGGCACTGGTTCTGGTCCCAACAACCGCAACTCCCATCCAGCTCTCTGCTTGTGGCCTGGGAAAGCAGTCAAGGACAGTCCAAAGCTTTGGGACCCTGCACCCATGTGGGAGACCTGGAGGAAGTTCCTGGCTCCTGGCTTTGGATTGGCTACAGCACCGGCCATTGAGGCCACTTGGGGAGTGAATCATCAGATGGAAGCTTTTCCTCTCTCTCCTCCTCTTGGTATAACTGACTTAGTAATAAAAATAAATTAAATCTTAAAAAAAAAAAAAAGAAACAGTGTCCATATGGGATCCTAGCACCACTGAGTCGTTATGCTGGGCCCTAAAATTATCCATAATTTTAAAAAAGATCATAACCCAGAGATAAAGCAACATTTTAGAGAATATTATAGATATATTTTTCCAAACATATTAAAAATTTATTTTTATCTGAAAGGAAGAAATAGAGATTGATTTACTTCCCCAATGTCTACAACAGCCAAGGGGTAACAAGCCAAAGCCAGGAGTCTGGAATTTCATGCAGGTCTTCCATATGAGTGTCAGGGACCCAAATACTTGAGCCATCACCAGCTACTTCCTAAGTGCACATCAGCATGAAGTTGTTATCTGAAGCACAGCCAGGACTCAAACTCAGCCCTACAATAGGACATGCAGGTGCCACAGCAGCATCTCTACCACTGCACCAAATGCCTGCTTCCTATTTATTTTTCATCCTAGAGACAGAATCTTCATCCATTTGTTTACTCCCTGAATACCTACAATGGCTGGGAGAATGCCTGGGCCAAGCCTGGAGTTGGCAGCTCAGTGCAGGTCTCCCTGATGGGTGGCAGGGATGTTGATGCTGCCTCCCTGGGTTCATATTGGCAAAAATTAGTAGTCTGGGCTACTAATTAAATCCAGGTACTCTGATTGGGACACAGACATCTCAACCAGGAGACTAAATGCCTACTCCACGATGTATTTTAAAACAGTTAAAGGCATACTTTTTGAATATTTATTTGAAAGGCTGAGTTATGAGAGGTCTTCTGTCTGATAGTTCATTCTGCAAATGACCACAGCAGCAAAGGCTGGGCTAGGCAGGAGCCAGAGTCTAGAACTCCATCCGGGTCGCTCATGTTGTTGCCAGAGCTGAAGCACTTTGGCCATCTGCTGCTTTCTTGGGTGCATTAGCAGGGAGCTGGATCAGAAGTAGAGCAGCTGAGGACCTGCTGCAATAGTGTAGTGGTTAAAGTCCTCGCCTTGAACACACTGAGATCCAATATGGGCACTGAGTCTAATTCCAACGGCCCCGCTTCCCATCCAGCTCCCTGCTTGTGGCCTGGGAAAGCAATTGAGGATGGCCCAAAGCCTTGTGACCCTGCACCCGCATGGGAGACCTGGAAAAAGTTCCTGGTTTGGTCTTTCTGCAACGAGACAGCTGTTTTTTTTTTTTTTTCCTAAGATTTATTTATTTTAATTGCAAAGTCATATATAGAGAGCGAGGAGGAGACACAGAAATATCTTCTGTCTGGTGATTCACTCCCCAAGTGACCACAAAGGTCGGTGCTGTGCTGATCTGAAGCCAGGAGTCAGGCGCTCTTCTGGATTTCCCATATGGCTGCAGGGTCCTAAGGTTTTGGTCATCCTCTACTGCATTCCCAAGCCACAAGCAGGAAGCTGGATGGGAAGCGGGACTGAGACAGCTGTTTTTCATTGCAAGCTGAATGGTCTCTTTGGAAAGGGACCCAACTCTTGGTTTTTTCCCTGCAGTACTTAGAGAGCAGCCCTCCATGTGGGCCTACTCCTGACCTGGTGAACAGTCACAAAGGAGTGGGATAGCATTTATTGAGTTCATACTGTGTGTAAGGCACTGATAAAATACTTTGTATACTTCTGCTTTTCTTCCCAATAACCTGTGAGTTTCATTTATTTTCCTTTATTTGTAAATAAGAAAGCTGTGGCTCATTGGGCCAAGCACTAATGGGACTGAGATTTGAACCCTCTACCAGGCTGGGACTGTGGAAAGCTCTTTGCTGTAGAGGCTCCTGCCCATGGTGTGAGTTACAGCTTGCATGTTATTTCCTTCCAGGTTAATGGCCGCAGTCCAGGCTTTGGTGCTCAAGGCATGGAATCCCTCAGTGAAGACCTGTGGGAGTTCCTGGGTGGGGAGGCTCCACTGCATCAGCTGGACGACCTCACTAAAGTGAATCCGGTGACGCTGGACACAGGTACAGGCCTCCCTCAGCTCTGGAGTGCCTTCTTCAGTAGTGTGCAGTTGTGATGAGGGTGTTGAATGTAGCTTCCCCAAATTTAGACTGAGGCAGGCAAGAATCTTGACTGGGAGCCAGGTGGACTGTTCCAGACTGCTACTCCAGGGAGCCTAGCAGCTGCTCCCAGCCTCCCCAGGGCAGGCTTTCCTCGACATTCGACATTCGGGGCACATCTTAATTAGATCTTGTATCTGTTCACCAGGGAGCTGCTGGATCTGCTGGCACTTGGTTAATTGCAGAGGGAGGGCTGTTAGGCAGATGTGCCTCTGTGGTTTTGTAGCTGAGCAGGAGCTTGCTAACGGTGTCTCTGCCTCAGTCCTGAGGTGCCTGCAGGCCCGGTACTCAGCAGACACATTCTACACCAACGCTGGCTGCACCCTAGTGGCTCTGAACCCCTTCAAGCCTGTCCCTGAGCTCTATACGCCACAATTGATGAGAGAGTACCACAGCGCACCACAGCCCCAGGTAAGGCTCGGCCGCCTCCTGCTTCTCCCCACAGCTGCCACAGCCCTGCCCAACAGGAGCTCCTAGAATTTTGGGCACTGACCGCAAGCAGAAGTTGCAAAAATGGGATACAAATATTGGTTTGATTGGGTTTGAAACCTAAAATAGAGGCAAAAAGGAAAGCATTTTTATAGATGTATTAATAGGAAAGACTTTACAAAGGTATATTTGTGTATATAGCAAATTCCATTTTTAGAAAAAAAAGTAAGGTTTGCTTACACATTTAGAAGATGTTCCTTTCTACTAAGAAGAGAAATTCTTTAGGGATGGGAGTGGGGTTGGTAGTGCAGCCAGAGCATGGGCTTGTCTGTTAAAATCGTGTGACCCAGGCAGGGGTGATGTTGGCAGGCTGAAGGCAGAAGATGAGGGTGCTGAGTGGGACCACTGGGCCCTCTGTGAAGGCCTGAAGGACCACCACAGGGCTGCTTTGTGTCGGTGGCAGTGGGGGCTGCGTTCAGAGAAGTGAGACAAGGAGGCACAACGTTTGGAAGTTTTGTAACAGCCCAGGTGAGAGTGGGACAAAGGCAGCTAGAGGACGCCCATTCCCTCAAGAAGGTGCAAGGAAGAGATCACAGCTGATCACAGCCCAGCTGTCCAGGAGTCCCTGCCCTGGGATGTGTCCAAGTGCAATCCAGGAAGGCTGTCCTGAGAGCCGCTCTGCACCGCAGATGCCAAGTCATGGTTTTACCAGTTTCCACAGCTGGATGCCTAGCACACTGAGGACTGTTAGTAACAGGTGCTCTGGAAGTACGTACTTGTTGAGTGGCTTTGGAAAGGCTATTTAACTCCCCTGAACCTCAGGTGCCCATGTAATATCAAGTTCTTTGTACAGCACATGCACATAGCTTTTAGTGATTTCTAGAAAAAGTTTTTTGTAAATTTCAAAATATAGTAACATACACCAACAATAAAATGAGGTTACTTTAGCAAGAGAAAATGAGTATAGGAAGTGTTAATGGCATTGGAGACTAGCCAAGGGCCAGCTTCTAGGCTGAGAAGGCAAATATGTGAAACCATCTTTGGAGCTTCGGAGTTGGACCTGACTGAGACTGTCTTACATGGGAAATTGCTTGGTCCATTAGACTTAGTATAGTGAATGTGAGGAAAATAACAAAGAATTGTGGATTGGGCCTGCTCAAGACCAGAAAGAACTCCCAGCAAAGATGTACATCAGATGCTATTTATAGAATAAGAGAAGTGTGGTATAGAAAACTTGAGTAATTACTTGCTAGTCTGCCAACCAGTCAGTTGGTTATAGATTAACCAGTTAGCTGTTTACACTTTTCTTAACTGGCAACTAGCCGAAGCTCAGTTACTGCGCAAAACTATATAAGTGAGGTCTGTTGGTTCCAGTGCAGGTCCTTTGTCCAAATCCATGACCTCCTACAATTTTTATTCAGCAACTGTTTTATCCAAACTTTTTTTCTGGAGGAAGCATCTAGCATTGATTGCATCTAGCTGATTGCTCTTTTCAGTCATCATCATGTCACAACTCCTTGTACTCAGGCATGTCCTCCTATGATTTTTAACCCCTTCATGTTTCAGAAGCTAAAGCCTCACATCTTCACTGTGGGTGAACAGACCTACAGGAATGTCAAGAGCCTGATTGAGCCCGTCAACCAGTCAATTGTTGTCAGTGGAGAGAGTGGTGCTGGAAAGGTAGGGGGACCTTTTTCTCGTTGGATCAACTTATAAGTGGCTGGGGGGAAGGGAAGGGAGCAGGAGGCAGAGCTGATCTGTTGTGGAGTCACTACCTGAGCCTGGGATCAGGATGCAGTGATGAACAAGCACTAGACTGGATTTTGAGCGGGTTTCCGGTCCAGGCTCTGCCGCTGCATCTGCCTGGAGGACAGATGCTTTCTTCCCTGAGCCTTCATTTATTTGCTCATCAAAGGTCTGTCCCAGCTATGACATCATAAAACAGAAGTTAGCTCTAAGCGATTGCAGCATGGTGACTAAGAACATACCTGAGCGGTACTGAGCTTCTGCAAAGCACAGCTCTCTCACTTAAGTGGTTGAGGGTGATAGGATTTCTGTCAGAGTTCAGTGAGTGAGTGCACACAGAGCACTTGGTGGCACGCCTGGCACACAGCAGTGTCACTGTGGGAAAGGGTTTATTAGATTAGCCTATCTGAATCCTTTGGGCTGTGGGGCAGGACAGAGGTACAGCCTCCTAGATGGCAAAACTGCAGCAAGTAAGGCAGAAAATTGGACGAGATTGAGTAAAGAGTAAAGAGCTCGTCAAAGGGGGCTGCAGGCACAGGTTAGTCTTTGCACATTTAACAGGGCTTCTTTGGGACCATCTTTCATGTGTATGAGAATTGCTGAACCCTGCATACCTGTTACATTCTAGGCTGTGGACAGTGAGGAGTAGCAGAGGGAGGAACAGATAGAAGCTTAACCTACTCTGCCATGGCACCAGCACCTCATGCTTTATTTTAGGGACTGTATTCTTTAATATCTTCTATTTTTTTTAAGATTTATTTTTATTGGAAAAGCAGATTTACAGAGAGAAGGAGGGACCGAGAGAAAGATCTTCCATCTACTAGTTCACTTCCCACCCAAGTGACTGCAATGGCTGGAGCTGAGCTGATCTGAAGCCCAGAGCTAGGAGCCTCCTCCAGGTCTCCTACATGGGTGCAGGGGCCCAAGCGCTTGAGCCATCCTCCACTGCTTTCCCAGGGAAGGGAAAGTTTAGCAGCCAGGACATGAACTAGTACCCATTTGGGATGCCAGGGTTTGCAGGCAGAAGATCAGCTAATTGAGCCATCAGGCTGGTCCTTCTTTAGCATTTATTTTCTTTTCCTTTTAAGTTTACATAGTTGAGAAAAACATATACCTACATGGGTCTCTGAATAGGGTGGAAGGGTCGAGGTAAGGAGGAAGATAGAGGGGACACATGTTTCAATTTTTTCTTCTCCTGTGTCTTCCTTTCCTGTGGGGAGGGAGAAAGGATCACTTCTTGTTCTCAAACTGCATTGGCACCCAGGGATAGAGGACAGTCCTATGATGAAGAGTGTTCCAAGGGTGTTACTTCAGTGGTTTCAATAGTTCTGAGATGTTGTCAGTTTCGGGGCACTAGGGTTAAGAAAATCTTTCCAAGGTCTATTGGCTGACCAGGTGCACCTCAGCGTATTCCTAGGCCCAGAAACATGCTGCAAAGCTTGGCTAGGAGAGAGGTCCAGCCTGTTTGCTTTCCGTCCTCTGACAAGGTACTCTGTGTCCTCTTCTGGCCTACATGAGCTGGCTGTAATGTCCCCCGTGTGCATCTGAGCATGCTGTCCACTGCACAGGCATCAGCACCTGAGGAGGCCTGGTCCTGATACAAACACTCCATAAACTTAAAGTTTTAAATTTATTTATTTATTTTATTTATTTTTTTTTTTAGATTTATTTTTATTACTTTTTAATTGGAAAGTTGGATATACAGAGAGGAGAGACAGAGAGGAAGATCTTCCATCCGATGATACAATCCCCAAGTGAGCACAATGGCTGATGCTATGCCGATCCGAAGCCAGGAGCCTCTTCCGGGTCTCCCACGCGGGTGCAGGGTCCCAAAGGTTTGGGCCGTCCTCGACTGCTTTCCTGGGCCACAGGCAGGGAGCTGGAAGGGAAGCGGGGCCGTTGGGATAGAACCGGCGCCCATATGGGATCCCGGGCATGCAAGGCGAGGACTTTAACCACTTGCGCCACCGCGCCGGGCCCTATTTGTTTTTTTTAAAGATTTATTTATTTGTATTGGAAAGGCAGATATACAGAGAGGAGGAGAGACAGAGAGGAGTATCTTCCATGCACTGGTTCACTCCCCAAGTGAGCGCAACGGCTGGAGCTGTGCCGATCCGAAGCCAGGAGCTTTTTCCAGGTCTCCCACACGGGTGCAGGGTCCCAAGGCTTTGGGCTGTCCTCGAGTGCTTTCCTAGGCCACAAGTAGGGAGCTGGATGGGAAGTGGGGCCGCTGGGATTAGAACCGGCGCCAATATGGGATCCCAGTGTGTTCAAGGCGAGGACTTTAGCTGCTAGGCTACCATGCTGGGCGCAAAAGATTTATTTTTTTACTTTAAAGGCAGAGTTACTCAGAGATGGAAAGATAGATCTTCTAGCTGCTGTTTTACTCCAAATGTCCGGAACTGGGCTGTTCCAAAGCCTGGAGGTTTTTCAGTGTTTCACACATGGGACAGGAGCCTAAGCTTCTGCTTCCCCAGTCATTTTTGAAGGGAGCTGTATAGGAAGTGGAGCCACTGAGGCTTGGATTGGTCTCCATGTAGGATGTAGATGCCTTTACTTGCTGTGACACCTCCGTGTGACATCCGCATATGTTCTCTTGAGTTATGACTTCAACATGCAAACTTGAGGGAAACATTTCAGCTTAAAGCAGACTTACAAAACTAAGGTGGAAAAGACTATATCCAAAGAAAACAGAAGGAAATAAAGTGGAAATGAATAAAATAGCGAACAAAACCAATAGAAAAAAATGAAATCCATGCTATTACTTGGAAAGATGAATGATATAATCCTGCAGTCAAACCATAACATAAAATAAACTTGGATAGGACATTTTGTGAAATATTTTGTCAACAAATTGTAATTCAGATGAAATAGAGAAATATTTTCAGGTAACAACTACTGAAGTTACTATATGAAGAAATATAACCTGTATATGTAAAAAAATAAAAAATAAATAAGTAAGTAAAGACCTACAGCCAGGTTGCTTTACTTGTGAATTCTATCAAACATTGAAAGAATAAAAGTTGCTAATTCTACACAAATTCAGTAACAAGATAGAAGTAGAGGAACATGTTTTATCTCATAGAAAGACCTAAAGAACTTAGAAAATCAACACTTGCTACTGTAGCAGCAAAAGTTCTGAGAAGTTTACCAAGGTTAGTAGGATACAAAGTCAATAGGTAATACTTGCATTTAGTTGTCTTTCCAGGAGAAATTGAATAAATAACAGGAAAAAAAAATAAAAAGAGAAATTAGAAATTAAACATATGCCCACTTCAGATGATTAGAAGTAAAAGAATTTTGGGCCCAGAGCAGTAGCCTTGTGGCTAAGGTCCTTGCCTTGACTGTGTAGGGATCCCATAAAGGCACTGGTTCTAATCCTGGAGGCTCCACTTCCCATCCAGCTCCCTGCTTGTGGCCTGGGAAAGCAGTTGAGGATGGTCCAGAGTTCTGGGACCTTGTACCTGCATGGGAGATCCAAAAAAGCTTCTGGCTTTGGCTTTGGGTCGGCTCAGCTCTGGCTTGGGGAATGAACCAGTGCATGGAAGATCTTTTTCTCTGTCTTCCTTCTCTCTGTAAATGCAATTTTCCAATATAAATAAATCTTTGAAAAAAAAAAAAAAGCAACCAGCAGTAGGAAGCTGGAGTTGTGGTTTAGCTGCCTGCAATACCAGTTCTTGTCCCAGCTGCTTTGCTTCTGATCCAGCTCCCTGGGCCTGGAAAAGCAGAAGATGGCCCAAGTATTGGGAGCCTTGCTGCCCATATGAGATATGCAGATGAAGCTCCTGGCTTTGGCCTGGCCCAGCCTTAGCTATCACAGCCATCTGCAAGAGTGAACCAATGGATACAAGATCTGTTTTTTTCTTTCTCTGTAAATCTTTCAAATAAGTAAATCTTAGCAGAAAAAAAAAAAAACGCAGGAGGGCCTGTGGACTCGGTCCCACAGGACTGTTTCTGCCACAGACATGGACATCTCGCTGCCTGATGAAATTCTATGCTGTGGTAGCCACCTCACCCACATCCTGGGAGAGCCACAAGATTGCAGAGAGGATCGAACAGCGGATTCTGAACTCCAATCCTGTTATGGAAGCTTTCGGTGAGCTCTACCTCAGTCCCACATCCCTGGATTTGCTACATTCAGTCAGGGAGAGGGAGTGCTCTAATACCCTCTCGGGGTTAAGGGCGAATGTCTATTGTCTCAGACTCTCAACCTCCTAAGAGAGATCGTTTGATCATTATCTTCCCTCTAAGCACGTGTGAGATGGTGCTGGAGGGACATTGGGGTACCTGTGGTCCAAATACTCTTTCCATCCAGTTTTCTGGTGCAAAGAACCAGGGGACTTCTCTGTGATGCAGAGTTGTCGGTGCCCATGTGGGGGCCTGAATGGCCAGATGTTGTCCAATGACAGCTTCCCCTTCAGAGAAGAAAGCCCCTGGCTGCTGGGGCTCACTCACTCCAGTTCCTTGCCAGGAAACGAGCTCTCATGAACTCCTGTGGCTGAAGCCTGACAGCCCATCCCCTGGCCCTGCCCTTTGTGACACTGAGATAAGGACTTGAGGATAGGGATATGGCTTCCAGTGGACCTGTGGCCAGGAGAACCCTAAGCCTCGGGGGGTGGCATGAACATAAGTGTGATCTGCAGGGAACGCGTGCACACTGAGGAACAGCAACAGCAGTCGCTTTGGGAAGTTCATCCAGCTCCAGCTGAACAGGTAATGCTTGCTGCCTCCTGGACAATGGAGGGTGGGTAGTCAAAGTGCCTCAGGAGCTTCCTGCCCGAACCTCCTCTATGTGCAGGAAAATCTTTGTGGTGGGATTCCCTGGGATCCCTGAACTCTGAGGGTGGTCTTCTTCTAACAAGAGGAGTGCATGTAGGGATCTTGGGACAGTGTTCCTCCTTTCTGTTAGCCTGTCCAGGGACTTCTGGCTAGATGGCCACCTCTTTGGGCCATTTCCTCAAGCTTCAAGCTGGGATTGGTACTCCTACCTTGGGATAGGCCAGAAGTGATAAAAGTCCAGGCTTGTTGGCCCTGACCACCTGAGCTGGGTACAGAGGGTGTCCCAGAGCTGCCAAAGTCATTCTGAGTAGACTGTAGCCCTCATGACTCTCCTCATGATGGAGAGGATTCATGCTGCATGGGGGATTTGCTAAGTTGCAGTCTATTGTTACACGGTGAATGCCAAATAAATGCCAAAGGAATGAATTGGCAGCTAATGGGCTGTTGCCCACATGTGCTCAGTGCTCAGCAGATGACTGGAGCTGCAGTCCAGACCTATCTCCTAGAGAAAACTCGAGTGTCCTGCCAGGCTTCCAGCGAGAGGAACTTCCACATCTTCTATCAGGTTTGTGCCAGGCAGAACTCAGAGGTACAGGGCAGGGATGGGTCTGTGGATTTGCCTCTGAGCCCTGAGTATGTTCCATGTCTGTCCATTTTACATGCTGCTAATTCATTCTAACTTTATGCAGCACGTAAAAATATTTTAAAGACAGAGGAAGAACTCTTTCATCACTGGTCCACTCCCTAAGCGACCATAAAGGTGAGGACTGGCTAGGCTGAAGCCAGAAGCTCAGAACTCTCAGATTGTATATGGGTGGCAAGGGCCCAAGCACTCATACCATCTTACGCTTTTCCAGACATATTAGGAAGTTAGATCAGAAACAGAACAGCTGTGATTTGAACTAAAACTCATATTGGATACAAATGTCCTAAGTGGCTGCTTAACATGCTGTACTACATCCCCAGCCCCAGTATGCAGCATCTCTGCCTGCCATTAGACTTTGCCTCCAGCATGTCTTTGAGAGTTGGGAGTGTTTCTGGATGAAGCCTTGTTACTGTTGCCATACCAAGGGCTTCCCTGTAATGGCCATTGTCTTGCAGAATGATGGCTCCCCCAGGCTTATCCTTTTTCCTGTTAGCCTAGTGCTCCACGCTTGTCAGATTAGGAGCATTCTTAGGTCTGCCACTCCAGGCTGCCTTGGCTCTGAGCAGGGGCTGTGCTGACTTTGACTGAAGGCTTTCCTGGAGTAGGATGTCTTGCACTAAGCTGGAGAAGTTCAAAGCTCTGTATCCTGCCCTTGTGCCTGTCTAGGCTTCTCCAGGGACCCTTCCGCCTTAGGACATTGTTGCCATTCCTTGTTCCTCCGTCTACCTCCAGGCTCACAGGGCCTCAGTTTTCCTTACATCCCCATCGCCTAGCTCAGGCACCTACTCGTCTCTCCCCTCAGATCTGCAAAGGAGCCAGTGAGGATGAGAGGGTTCACTGGCACCTCCCCAAAGGAGCTGCCTTTTCCTGGCTGCCTAATCTGGACAGGACCTTGGAAGGTAGGGGAACCTCACCCAGTATCCTGGCCTGACTTAACGGAACCCCGCCCCACCCCTGCCCTGCATGAGGACTGCCTCCCTTACCCCTCGCAGCCCTTGCTGATCTGGGGCTCTGACCCCAGGCTGTGATGGATTGTTTTTCAGAGGATTGCTTCGAGGTGACCCGGGAAGCCATGCTGCATTTGGGCATCAACACCTCCACCCAGAACAACATCTTTCAGGTCAGAGAAAAAAGCCCGCATGTGTCACCTATATTTGGCAGAGATGACAGGAGCTCCTTGCACCAGGGCCTTCCTTAGGCTTGTGACGCCCGTCACTGAGCATCCAGGACTTAGGGCTGTGCTGTGCAATCTCCAGGGAGCCTGAGTCAGGGCCAAGATGAGCACCAAGGGCAGTGATCCAGTGCATCGTGCTGGTTGGGCCACAGGTCATTGTGCGGTGACACATGTCAGTCAGAAAGCCCTTGAGTCAGAGTTCTGGTTGTAGTAACTTCACATTCCTACCAGTTGTTTTGTTTTTCTGGCTCTTGTTGTTTAAGATTGACTAGTTTGTTCAAAAGGCAAAGCAACAAAAAGCAACAGGGGTGACGAGGGAATCTTGTTCATTCCCCAAATGGCTACAACACAGATCCAAAAGCCAGGAACTCCATCCTGGTCTCTCATGTGGCTGGCAGGGACCCATGTCCATCTTCCACTGCCGTCCTAGGTACACTAGCAGGCAATTGGATCAGAAATGGAACTGCCAGGAGTCAAAATTTCTCTCTAGTATGGGATGTTGGCTCTGTAAGCAGCAGCCTAGGCAGTGCTGGCCCCTGATGCTCCCCTTCTGTGTGCTCCTCGCCCCCTCAGCCCCATGTCTCTGCCTCTTTCTGACCTTGGTGGGCTGAAACTTTCTCATCTGTCCTCTCTTCTCCTGCTCTTTGCTACTGCAACTGACTGCCTTCCCTCGCTTCTCTCTTCCCAACCCCAGAGCAATGGGAGGAAATAGCACAGGTTGGCAGCGAGGACAGCAAGGCCACTGCAGAGAGGGGACAGTGTAGTGGAAACTGACTTCCTTTGCCTCTGGCAGTAAGGAGTTATATCCAGTGTGGGTACTGCTAACTTAGAGCTTAACCAGGACAGCACGTAAGGACAGGCCCAAGGCATGCTGCTTTAGGGGTGACTGGAACCTCTGCCACAGCCACATCAGTCCTCTCCTGTGTGGTTATGGCCAAAAGGCCAGCAGCAGGTGGAGGTGCCGTGTCAGTTGCCATACAGGGTAATAGGGAGGGGTCCTATTTGCTCAGTACCAGTCTAAGGCTTCAAGGGTTCACCCTTGTGGAATACTGAGTGTGAAGGCTTAGAGGCATCCTGTGTACTGAGATCACCGCTCCCTCTGGCCTGGGCCGTCGGATCCCATGAATGCAGAGAGGGGGCCAGGACTGAGCTGTTAGGACCCACATAGGTAACCCTGGCCACAGCCAATAGGTGTGGTCCCGGAGAGGTGTAAAGGGACAGTTGGTGCGTGGGCCTGGGAAGCATATGAAGTTAGACTGCCTGGCTCTTTGTTTTAAAATTTATTTATTTTTTATTGGAAAGGCAGACGTACAGAGAGAGGGAGATAGAAAGATCTTCCATCCACTCTTTCGCTCCTAAGCTGCTGCATCAGCTAAGCTGAACCTACCCAGAGCCAGCAGCCTTGAGCCTCTTCTGGGTCTCCCACACAGGTGCAAGGTCCTAAGGCTTTGGGCCGTCCTCTACTGCTTTCCCAGGCCACCAGCAGGGAGCTAGATGGGAAATGGAGCAGCCAGGACACAAGCTGGTGTCCATATGCAAGGTGCGGATTTAGCCACTGAGCCTTTGTGTCAAGCCCATAGACTGCCTGGTTCTAATCCTTCCTCTCAAAAGGGTCTCCTCAGGCTTGGAATTTAACCCCTGCAGTCACGTCTGCGTTATGGGCATCATTGTGGCATAGGTCTTCTTGTTGAAAATACTGAGGGGTTGCATGTGATGGGTATAGAATTGCACCCAGCTGGGCCCAGTGCAGTGGCCTAGTGGGTGAAGTCCTTGCCTTGCATGCGCCAGGATCCCACAGGGCACTGGTTCATGTTCCGGCAGCCCCGCTTCCCATCCAGCTCCCTGCTTGTGGCCTGGGAAAGCAGTCGAGGACGGCCCAAAGCCTTGAGACCCTGCACTCGCATGGGAGACACGGAAGAGTCTCCTGGCTCCTGCTTTGGATTGGCTCAGCTCCAGCTGTTGTGGCCACTTGGGGAGTGAATCGGCAGACAAAAGATCTTCCTCTCTGTCTTTCCTCCTCTCTGTATATCTGCCTTTCTATAAAAATAAAATAGTTCTTAAAAAAAATTTGCACCGGGCCATGCTGGGGCTTCTTGTTCTGTTGTCCTCAGGACACTCAGCAGGGAGCCGTTCTTTGCGGGCTCAGCCCTCATCCTGTCCAATCCTGCTCCTGAATCACTCTTTTCTGCCCCTAGGTCCTAGCTGGGCTGCTGCACCTTGGCAATATCTTGTTTGCTGACTCAGAGGATGAAGCCCAGCCCTGCCGCCTGATGGACAGTGCCAAATGTAAGGGGCAAGGCCGGGGGGCAAGGCAGGACCTGCCGGGAAAGTAGCCAGCACTGCTGGGATTAGGTGGGAGGCCAATGGGTCAGCGTTCTCTTGAGGTTCCCTTGATGAGGCTGTGCACTGTAGGCCCTGCCCTGGGTGACTGACTCCTCTCCCCATCGCTGGTGAGACACATGAGAAGTCAAGAATGGAGAGTTTCTGAAGTGACTGGTCCCTGCTTCTGCTCCTTACGGAGACCTTACAGCAGCGTGCCTATCAGAACTTTGGTTTCCTCTGTCCGGCTTTACCAGCCCTGGCTCCACTGTGATGACCTCACAGTGCCTCGGGAAGAGGGCTGCTGGGATGCAGGGTGGTTTGCTTAAGGAGGACTCACCCCTCCCAGGCCCCATCAGGACGTCAGCCTTGCTGCTGCGGCTCCCCGAGGACACACTGCTGGAGACCCTGCGGATTAGGACCATCAGGGCAGGCAGGCAGAGGCAGGTGTTCCAGAAGCCCTGCTCCCGAGCCGAGTGCGACACTCGCAGAGACTGTCTGGCCAAGCTGGTCTACTCCCGGTGAGCAGTTAATCTGGGCCCTGCCTTCCCCTACGGTTTCCCCGCTTTGGGATTGGACCAGACACTGTCAAACAACAGGCACAGGCCCAGCAAACGGGGGTGGAAGGGTGGTGCCAAATGAAGCAGATTTCAGACCCCTGGGACAGCAAGGCACAGTGTCCAGGACTTACCTGGGCAGAGCTGGCCTCTCCTTCTGAGTACTGAATAGAGAAGTTGTCACGTTCCTGGCTGAGATCCAGCTCACTATTAAAATACAGGAGCCTGCTTTAACCTTGACCATAAATTGGTAAGGAAACCCTGCTCTGCTCTTGACTCACAAAGCAGGCCCCAAAGGTGATCTTGGCCTTCACAGTGCAGACCCTTGCATGACTGGCTCCTGTGACTCCCTGCACCCCCATTCTTCAGGGCAGGAGCCCACCCTGTGCCCCTGGGGGTCCTGGCTTTTCCCTGTGGTTACATGGCTGACTCTGCCCTCTGGTCCTGTGTTTAAGGGTTGTCCCTAACCTTGGATTTTGAGACCTGCAGGGTACCTTGCAGGAGCCTCAAAGGGTGCAGAAGCCTCAGCAATGACAAGGCAGAGTGTGTGTGGATGTGTTCATGTCTGGGGGACCTAGGGCAGACTTCTAGGGAGGGCGTGCCTGGCTTTATGGACCTGCCAAAGACCAGTCACCTGAGAGGAGGTACTGCTGAGGGAACAAGCGCTCTGAGCTGAAAGAGCCCATGGCAGCTTAGTTCAGACTGTTGGCATTTTAGCCCACATCTCAGCTATCACTGCCTCAAGGCTAACTTCTCATCAAAGATTTGTAAAGTCTTTGCATGTGTGTACAATATGACAAGCACAGGTAGAGAACCTATAACCATAAGTGTGTGGGCTTTTTTGTTTTGTTTTGTTTGTTTTTAAGATTTTGCTTTTACTGGAAAGGCAGATATGCGGAGAAGAGGAGAGACAGAGAGGAAGATCTGTCCATTGATTCAGTCCCCAAGTGGCACCAACAGCTGGAGCTGTGCCAATCCGAAGCCAGGAGCCTGGTTCCTCTGGGTCTCCCATGCAGGTGCAGGGTCCCAAGGCTTTGGGCCATCCTTTACTGCTTTCCCAGGCCACAGGCAGGGAGCTGGATCAGCCGCCGGCAAGTGAGACCACCGGCACCCTGTGGGATCCTGGCGTGTGCAAGGCGAGGACTTTATCTGCTAGGCTACCTTGCCAGGCGTGTGTGTGTGTGTGTTTTACACACAGAAATCATTAGATCATTATAGCATTAAGTCATTTCATTTTTAATATTTACTTAAATTTATCAGAGAGCATGAGAGAGAAAGATATTCCATCTCTGGTCTACTCCCCAAATGGCTGCAAGAGCCAAGGTTGGGTCAGGCCAAAGTCAGGAGACAGGAATTCTGTCTGGGTCTTGCCTATGGGTGACAGGGGCCTAAGTACTTGGGCCACTTCTCAGGCACATTAGGAGGCACCTGGATTGGAGGTGAAGTAGCCTGGACTTGGAATTGACATTCATACTAGATGTGAGTGTGGCAAGTGGCAGCTGCTTCTTCTCTTCCACAGTACCAACCCTAATACTTATTGTCCTAATCACTGGCAAAAAAGAGAAACCATTTTCTTTATAAAACTGAAAAAGTTATAATTACTCTGAGGAATTTAGTAAAGAAGCAGCCTTGAATGGTGCTGTGCACATTTCCACCTTGTTCTTTGCCTTCTCTGGGCTGGGATGGTCCCAAAGTGGGGCAAGCCATTGTCGACCTCCAGAGACTGGTGGCTCCAGGGAATGTAATAGAACCTTAAGCTCTTGCCTCCAGAGGTGGAGTGTCTAGAGCTGAGTGAGACCAGTCCTTTACAAACCATACCCATGCCTGCCCATCAGCCCTGCCTGTCCAGGAGCCAGGACAGGCCAGGTTTGTGTGCACTTGGAGACAGGCGTGCCTACAGCCTGCATCTCTGTCGGTCAGGCAGGATCAGCAAGGAGCACAAGAGGATTTTACCTTTGACCTGCCAGGTACAGCACACAGGACCCTCCAGAGCATAGCACGCTGGCTGATGGAGCAGCCCTGACCGCCCCCCACCCCGTCACCCTCAGCAGCACCCCTGCTCTTCCCCCACAGGCTTTTTGACTGGCTGGTGTCGGTGATCAACAGCAGCATCTGCGCAGACCCTGACTCCTGGACCACTTTCATAGGTAGCAGGTGCTCGTCCTGCTGGGCGCACTCCAGCAAGGGGAAGCTGAGGGCAGGCAGACAGGAGCCTGTGGCCATTGTGTCTCTTCCCCTCTTTGTATCTGTCTGCCCTGCCCACAAATGAGATTTTTGCTGTCCACTGCCCATGTCTGACCCATCCATAGCTGTCTAGACTCATTTATGGGAGCTCCATTTCTCCCCCAGGTCCCTAACTCCCATCGCAAGACAGTTGTTGAGGGGGAGAGGATCAGAGTGCATGATTTTTTTTTATTAAAGATTTATTTATTATTATTACAAAGTCAGATATACAGAGAGGAGGAGAGACAGAGAGGAAGATCCTCCGTCCGATGATTCACTCCCCAAGTGACCGCAACGGCCGATGCTGTGCCAATTCGAAGCCCGGAACCAGGAACCTCCTCCAGGTCTCCCATGTGGGTGCAGTGTTTCAAGGCTTTGGGCCGTCCTCAACTGCTTTCCCAGGCCACAAGCAGGGAGTTGGATGGGAAGTGGAGCTGCTGGGATCAGAACCAGCGCCCATATGGGATCCCAGTGTGTTCAAGGCAAGGACTTAAGCTGCTAGGCCACACCGCCGGGCCTCAGAGTACATGATTAACAGGGACACAGAGGCATGACTGAGGCTAAAGTAGCTGTGACCCCGGTGTGGCCAGCAGTTAGGGAAGGGAGAAAAGCTTAGAGGCCTGAGTTAAGCTGGTGAGCCCAAGGCCTTCCTAGTTAGATTTGAGAAGGAAAATGCTCCCTGGGACCTGGTTTTCCTGCAAGAGGGATCTATCAGGACTGTCTTCAGACCCAAATATGGGCCACCCACCTGCCATTTGGGTGTTTTGCCTGCTCGGAGCTCTGGAGAAGCAGATGTTGGGAGGCAGGGATGGGGAGGTCGCTTTGCTACTTGCTGGTGCCTCACGCGCAGCCTCATCCCCAGGCTGCCAAGTGTGAGCTGCCCTGTGCGCCTGCCCTGCCCCAACCCCCAGGTTCCTGAGCGGCCCCGTGGCTCTCCCCCATCCTCCCAGGCCTGCTGGACGTGTACGGGTTTGAGTCATTTCCTCACAACAGTCTGGAACAGTTGTGCATCAATTACACCAATGAGAAGCTGCAGCAGCACTTTGTGGCCCACTACCTAAGAGCTCAGCAGGTGAGGGATGGACACTTGGGGTCCGGGGGGACACCTTCTCCCTGCCCTCTGGTCCTGGTCACTTCTCACTAAGAGCATTCTGATTCATTTTATTTTATTATTGTTAATATGATTTATTTATTCCCCTCTTTAAGACTTATTTATTGGAAAGGCAGCATTACAGGTGGAGGTTTAGCATGCTATGACATAGCACTATTCTCAATTTTTATTTTAAATTTTTTTTAATTTTGATGATCTTTACATAGTTGATTAGGGATCAAAGGGTCAAGAGCTACAGGAAAGTGGGTAAGACCATTGCTATTCCCTATTTTTAATTGACTAGTAATAATAGTATTTGTGAGATACTCTACCACACCACTCTGGACAGTGTATGAGGCTAAGCCCCTTGTAGATGGCCCATCCAGGCCACAGTGCCCTCTCCCAGCCTGTTCCTTGTCTGACCCTAGGAAGAGTATGCACAGGAGGGACTGGAGTGGTCATTTGTCAACTACCGGGACAACCAGACATGTTTGGATCTCATCGAGGGGAGCCCCATCAGCATCTGCTCCCTCATAAATGAGGTGGGCGGGCCAGCCAGGGAGCTCTTCTGGGGCCCGATGACTCTCCTTTACCCTTTCTGGCCTCTTTCTCTCGCTCTGCCCAATGGGCTCTTGGGGTAACTGTTACCTCTCCGTGGGAGGGGATGGTGAGGGTTGCACTGAGCCCATGGTGGCCTGCCCACTCCCATCACAGGAGTGCCGCCTGAATCGTCCAAGCAGTGCGGCCCAACTCCAGATGCGCATTGAGAGTGCCCTGGCAGGAAGTCCCTGCCTGGGCCAGGACAAGCTCAGCCGGGAGCCCAGCTTCATTGTGATGCATTACGCGGGGCCTGTGCGGTACCACACAGCAGGCCTGGTAGAGAAGAACAAGGTAGGCCTGGCTGGAGTCACTCCACACACGCTGTTTCCCATCCTGCGCTGTCCTCTTGAGCTTCCTGCCAGAGTCCAGCATCACCAGCTTGGGCCCCTGTGCCTGAGGTCTCTGCTAATCAAGTGTGACCTTGCAGTGACTCACATTACACTGGGTTTGCATCTTGGTTTCCAAGTGGAACAGCTCCTCTTGACTTCCCTGAAAGCCATCCTCCAGGGCTGGGTTGGGTGGGGGACAGGCCCATGGGATCTCTGGGAACAACTCTTCCTGCCACCTTTGTGCCTCCCCAACAGGACCCTGTTCCCCCTGAGCTGACTGAACTCCTGCAGCAATCCCAGGACCTTTTGCTCCGGGTACTGTTTCCTCCTGACACTGAAGAGAAGACCCAGGAGGAGGAGCCCTCAGGCCAGAGCAGGGCCCCTGCATTGACCGTGGTATCCAAATTCAAGGTAGGTCTGGTGGTGCAGACAGGAAGTGCCCAGTTCACTCACAAGTCTCTCAGGATTGGTTCTGCTGGCTGGGCAGCAGCGGTGAATAAAGCTGAGTCCTGGTCCCCATGAGGTCTATTCCTCAGTGTGGAGGGCAGATACGAAGGCGTCCGTCAGGTGTGATGCCATCGCAGGAAGCCCAGGGTTGTCTCAGTTATACTGACATGGGTGCCAGTCATCTAAACCTCTGTGACCTGCCCTCTTCCCATATGACTGCTACCTCCAGTGACAGCCGATCCACTTCTCTCCTGCTGGGCTGCTTTCTAGCCTGGCTCAGCCCTTGTGCATGCTGCACCACCTTCCTGGGGTGCTCTTGACCCTTGTCCTTTGAACTCTCCTCACTCCCACCATCCTGACTGGCAAGTCTCGGCTTCACCATCACCTCCGTGAGTAGCACCCAGAGGAACCAGGTTCTATTAGCACTTATGTGGCCCAACTTTGGCCACTCACACGAGATGGCCATCAGTGACAGCTGTTGTGTGAATGAAGGTGGGGGTTGAGGCTGTTTTCTCCAGGATAATTGTTGTGGGGAGAAGGCTGACATGTCCAGTGAGGGTCAGTCATCCAGCACAGCCCCTGGAGGCCGGGGAGAGAAGTGAGCAGAGCTCAGCAGAAGTGTGTGCTTTGCCCACGAGCATCCTCTGGCAGTTCACCCCAAGGCACGTGAGGAGCCTGGTGATGCTGACACAGCCTCTACCCAGGGCCCAGCTGTGGCTCCAGGCAGGCCCCATCCCTGACTGATTGCGGGTCTCTCCATCTGCAGGCCTCCCTGGAGCAGCTCCTGCAGGTCCTCCACAGCACTACCCCGCACTACATTCGCTGTATCAAGCCCAACAGCCAGGGCCAGGCACAGACCTTCCTCCAGGAAGAGGTAATTCCCTTGGGCCAGCCACTCTGTATTGAGTCCATGTGGACAAGGCCCATGGGGACATCAGGGTAGGACACTGCCAAGTGGGATGACCAGAGTGGGTATCTCAGGCTGGGCCTGACAGCATTCCTGTCTAGGAGGGCAGTCACATACGGTTGTGTGGTCTGTGCACTTCTAGGAGGTCGTTGTTAGCTAAGAAGGCCTTCAGTGCATCTTGCTTTCTGCTCAATAAGCAGCGTGCCCTACAAGAGACTGAAGCAGTCCAAATAGGTGTCTTTCATAGCAAGCTACAAGTCTTTTTAATAATTCATATGCAGGTAGCAACTTCTGATTTTCTCAGTTTGCACAAAAGCACCACAGTCAGCAGCTGTCCTTTCCTTGGATCTTGAAGCTCGGAGGGGTATGGTGGAGGTATGAGTGCTGGACAGTGTTTAAGAGTGTCCCAGCATTGCCAGGTAGACTTGTCTTGGTGTCTAGTCAGGAACATTTGGCAGTTTAGTGAAGGCCTGCCTGTACTCAGATCCTTTCAGGATCTTCATAGTGCAGGCTTCCTGGCCCCTGAAAACAACTGTATTGCCTGGCAAAAATAAAGACACTCAGAATGGGTACTGCATGGCCACCTGTGAGGTCACACATGCACTGGGGGTGGGATACAGAACCAGGACCCCTGCTTCTATTGTGTCAGAAACGATGCAACCAAACAGGGATGTGGGACCCACAGGGCCCTTCCAAGTAGGGACATTTTCTCAAGGTCCTATAAGTTTTTGCTGCCTCCCCAACACATCCCCCCACTGCCTCCAGCTCCCTGCTACTGTGGGCCTGAGCATTTCTGGCCTGCTTGACCCCATACCACTGCAATGTACCCAATCTCTCCACACTGCAGGTCCTGAGCCAGTTGGAGGCGTGTGGCCTGGTGGAGACCATTCACATCAGTGCTGCCGGCTTTCCCATTCGGTGAGTTTGGTAGGGCACAGCAGGGACAGATGTGCCGGGCAGAGCTGGCACAGCCCTCGCTGTTGTGGGCACTTGGAGATTGAACCTACAGATCTCTTATTCAAATATACATGTATTTACTGCTTTGGCTGTCTTTAATGCTAGGGTGGTATAGCTTCCTCTTTCCATTTATTTTTTGTATATATATATTTTTAAGACTTTAATTTCTATTTTTATTGGAAAGTAGGATCTACAGAGAGGAGAGACAAAGGGAAAGCTCTTCCATCTACTGCTCCACTCCCCAAGTAGCCACAGTGGCTGGAGCTGAGCTCATCCAAAGCCGGGAACCAGGAGCTTCCTCCAGGTCTCCCACATGGGTGCAGGGTCCCAAGGCTTTGGGCCGTCCTCGACTGCTTTCCCAGACCACAAGCAGGGAGCTGGATGGGAAGTGGAGCTGCTGGGATTAGAACTGGCACCCATATGGGATCCTGGCATGTTCAAGGCGAGGACTTTAGCCATTGGGCGACCACATCAGGCCCTAAGATTTGTTTTAATTAAAGAAAATGCTTTCTCTACAAAGAGATGAGTTCAGCTTCTGCTCAGAGGCCAGAAAAAGATGGCTAGGAACTGGCCCCTGGATTTGGTTACATAATTGATCTGATCCAAGAGTCCTGTAAGTGTAGTTAGGGATAGAAACCAGTCTTGAGGAGTGACTGGGAGAGTTAACAACATCAGATGTCATCAGCTGTACCATGATAGGGAGCGGAAAAGCCAGGAGAAAGCTTTGGGGGGTCACAAGTCAGGTGAGACATGCCCGAGCATGTGCGCATGCTAGAAGCAGTCAGTCTGTTGGAAGGAGGCAGGGTGCAAACACCCCAGTAAAAGAGTGGGAAGTCCTGTTGTATTTAACACGGTCTCCTTAGGGGATAGGGAGTGGATATACAGGCTCAGGGTTAAGGTGCCTGCATCTCTTGGGCTAGAGCAATGGCTCAATTAGCTAATCCACCCCTTGCAACTGCCGGGATCCCATATGCGCACCAATTCGTGTCCTAGCAGCCCCGCTTCCCATCCCTCTCCCTGCTTATGGCTTGGGAAAGCAGTAGAGGACGGCCCAAAGCCTCGGGACCCTGCACCCGTGTGGGAGACCTGGAAGAAGCTTCTGATGGGCTCAGCTCCAGCTGTTGTGTGCATTTGAGGAGTGAACGAGCAGATAGAAGATTCTGTCTCTTCTCTCTGTAAATCTGCTTTTCCAATAAATACATTAAAGAAAAAAAAAACAACCAAAAAAAGAGGTGCCTATATCTCATATTAGAGTACCTAAGTTTTAGTCCTAGCTCCACTCCCAGTTCCATCTTCTTGTTAATGTGGATTCTAGAAGGCAGCAGGTGATAGTTCAGATTATTTGGATCTCTGAGTCATGCTAGAAACCTGCATTGAATTTTCAGTGCCCACCTTAGTCTGGGGCTTGCAGGCATTTGGCCAGTGAACCAATGGATAGGGCCAGGTAATAAGAACAAATGGTCTCATTTGTTATGATGGTCATCGCAACCTTATCAGTGTCCCTGGGTTTGAGTTTCAGGTCCCTGGGAAGCAGCAGTACTTGGGTCTTTTCCAACAACGCGATAGGGACTGAATTCCCAGCTCTTGATTTCAACCTGTTGTGCGCTTGTGTAGAGTGAAGCAATGGATGGATTTCTGTAGAACTGCTTCTCACACTTTCAAAATAAATAAAAATAAAAAGAGGGGGCTTGTATTGTGGTATAGGATATAGGAGGTTATCCCTATCAGTGTCCCATATAGGAATGCCAGTTCTAGCCCGGGCTGCTCGACTTCCAGTGCAGCTCCCTCTTGTACCTGGGAGGCAGCAGGGGATGGCTCAAGTACTTGGGCTGCTGCCACCCGTATGCAGGATTCAGATGGAGTTCTTTACTCCTGGCTTTGGACTGGTTGAGCCCCAGCCAGAGCAGCCATTTGAGTTCTCTTTCTCTCACTTTCTTTAAAGATTTACGTTATTATTATTAATAATTGGAAAGTAAGATATACAGAGGGATAGAGAGACAGAAAAGATCTTTCATCCGCTGATTCATTCCCCAAGTGGCCGCAACAACGAGCTGAGCCAATCTGAAGCCAGGAACCGAGAACCTCTTCCGGGTCTCCCATGCAGCTGTGTGGTCCCAAGGCGTTGGGCCGTCCTGGTCTACCTTCCCAGGCCACAAGCAGGGAGTAGGATGGGAAATGAGGCCACAGAGATTACAACCAGTGTCCAGGGCCCAGCACGGTAGCCTAGCAGCTAAAGTCCTTGCCTTGCCTAAGAAAGAAAGAAATAGCACCCATATGGGATCTTGGCACGCTTAAGGCGAGGACTTCAGCCCCTAGGCTATTGCGCTGGGCCTGCCATGTGAGATCTGAATGAACAGATGAACGTGTGCATTCTCTTTATATATCCTCTATCTCTGCCTTTCAAATAAATATATACTGCACAAGCTCCCCACCAAGTGAGCCTAGTCTCCTCTCCAGAAGATAACCTGATCCCCGTGGTGGGGCTAGGACAGCCCCTGACAGTGTTACTGCTCATCTCAGCCATGCACCTGCAAACATTGAAGTCATTCTCTTGCTTTGGTTCTAGGATCTCTCACCAGAACTTTGTGGAAAGGTATGGGTTACTGAGAAGGCTCTGTCCTCATACATCCTCAGGCCTCCACAGCCCAGATCCTGCCAAGGGGTGCTCTGGTGAGTGGTGCTCATGTGTGAACCATTTGTTCAACCACAGGACACCCAGCACCCACTCTGAGTCCTCCCAGACATTGGGGCTGTGAGTTCAAAGATGAACAAATCAGCCCTGCTCTTGGGGCCCTGGACTCAGCGAGGAAACTGAGAAGAGCATGGAAAGCAAAAGGCAGCGCTGTGCTGAGGTGTGGCTAGGGAATGGCTTCCTAGAGGCCTGTCAGTCGGGCACAGGGCTCTCCACGTGGCTGAGGTCATCTGACAGAGGCCTGAAGGCAGGAGGTGACAGTGTCACTTAGTGCTGCTCTTCAGGACAGGAGGTGGTGGGAGGTGAGGCCGGAATGGTGATGGAGGGAGTGGAAGAACCCAGACTTTATTCTCTGGGTAAATGAGGATGTGCCACTGGGATGGCTGGAGGACTTAGCCTCATACTTTCTAGAGACTACACAGGGCCTTGTGGAATGTCCTGGGAGTGTGGCTGAAAGCCACTCAAGAGGCCTGGGATGTGGGGACAGTTGGGAACTGTTTGGAAAAAACTGGAGGGAGGTGCCTGGCTAGATTGAGGGAGCAGTAAGTTGGCCCAGTCAGTGGAGAAAGCCGAAGGAAGAGGTAGTGATGAGCCCTGCAGAGGCCAGCCGAGCTCCAGGCCCCTGGACTTGTTGGGTGGATGTGTCTGAGACGCACCTGGCAACCTTTAGACCTGGGAAAAGGTCTGGCCTGAGGTCTTACGTGAGGGTTGCCGACTGCAGATGCACATAACTGAGGCTTAGGACAGGCCGTGGGGAGGAGCCTTAGGAGGTACAACCCCCAAGGACCCCAGCCCAGCTACATACTCCCCACACCTCACAGCCTTCCCCAGGGTCCAGGAGACCCCCTGAAACATTGTTTCCTTTCACCTTTCTCCCTTCTCTCTTCTCTCCATGGTTGGCTCTCCTGTCTCTTACCAAACCGCTTTGGCCCCTGGGTGACTGCTACTCTTCCTCATTCTCCAGCCTCTTTCTCTGACAGCCAGAGAGGCGCAGGCCCTAACGGTGGGCAGAGCCTCAGGTAATGCATCCTCGGAAGGAGTCGGTGCTGTGGGATGGCAGACAGCAGGCAGCGAGAACTCCTGGGCCCTTACAGGGCTGCAATTTGTCTCCTTTTCCCATGCATGAAGGGGAGTGGGGGGGACAGGGACCTGCAGTTGCTTTGGCAGGGCCAAGTCCCCTTTTTCAGCCTGCCCAAGGAACCCATGGCAATGGAAGCTGCAGGACACAGCCCCAAGGGGGGAGTCGTAAGGCTCCCTGGCATAACCAGAGCCTTGAAGGACAACAGGAGACTCTGAGCCTCCCCCAAAAAGGAGTTAGGTTGGAGGCAAGAAGTGCAGTACTGGAGCCTGCAGGGTGCTGGGGAGGCCACAGCCAGCTTGTGGAGGTGACTAGCCACTGACTGGGCCACCTCTCATCCCCAGAACGGACCCCACAGGCAGACTCGGCCATGCTGCTGTCTCTGCTCCAGGACATTCTCCATATCCCGCCAGCTCTAACTCAGACGGCAGCCACAGCTGTCCAGCCCGCCGACACCATGGCAGCTTCAGTGCACTGCGGCAAGACCAAGGTCTTCATGACCAACTCTGTGGTAAGCTGGTCTGGGGATGGGGAGCCTATCAGTGGCAGATGTACACGCTCCTCAACAGGACAGTCTGACTGCTCCTTGGGCAGGGAAGGAGCTGAGGGCCTCAGCAGATGCCCTTTCTTGCAGCTGGAGCTTCTGGAACATAGGCGTGTCCAGGTGCTGGAACAATGTGCTCGTTGCATCCAGCGTGGCTGGAAGCGCCACCAGCACCGAAAGCAGGAGCGGCGAAGGCAGGCCGCTGTGTGCATTCAGGCAGGTGAGTAGGGCTACTGGCCAGCGGCTGCACACCGGCTGTTCATGCAGTACCAGGGCCCATCCATTACAGTGTAGATTCCACCTCCTGCAGGACAAGTGGCTGCCTGTGGCTCCCTGGGATTATCATTCCTCCCAAGCTATCCAGTTTTGTGGCAACCTGCTCCACAGGTGGTGGGAGCTGAAAATTGGCCTATAGCTCCCTCTTCACAGGCCTCCCCCTCCTTTCTGACAAATCCATCACCACCTACATGGCACAGGGTTTGGGAAGAGGCCAAAAAAACAAAAACCAAATGAATTAGAATCATCAAAATAAGACGTGTGAACCATTCACTCAAAAAAACATGAGAAACAGTCCAGATACCTGTCAGTGATGGAGTTATGGCTAGGGAATGGGCCATTCCTGTAAAGATTTTGACAAATAGAAAATTGCTGGATGCTAAAACTACCTAGAAAGCCGGCACAGCCTCTGAAAGGTGTATGTGCACCTACTGATGAACTGGACAATGCTGTAAAGCTCCTGAGTTGGTGAAGTAATGGGGAACTTTTTTTTTTTTGAAGATTTATTTTTGTTGCAAAGTAAGATTTACAAAGAGGAATTCCATCCACTGATTTACTCCCCAAGTGACTGCAACAAATGGAGCTGCACTGATCTGAAGCCAGGAGCCAGGAGCTTCTTTGAGTATGTGGTGCATTGCCCCGTGGATTCCTGAATAAGCATGACATTTGAGCATTTAAAAAAACAGGGACGGCATAATGGCTCAGTGAGTGGCTAAAACTTGCCTCGCACGTACCAGGATCCCATGTGGATGCCGGTTTGTGTTTTTGGCTGATCCACTTCCATCCCACTCCCTGCTTGTGGCCTGGGAAAGCAGTAGAGGATGGCCCAAAGCCTTGGGATTGTGTACCAGCATGGAGACCTGGAAGAAACTCCTGGCTCCTGGCTTCATCTTGGATCTAGCCATTGTGGCTACCTGGGGAATGAACCAGTGGACGGAAATTCCTGCTGATCCCCCCGGCCCTTTTTCTTCTCTGTATGTTTGCCTTTCCAACAGAAATAAATCCTTTTAAAAGAGACAGGTAGTTATAAAAGATATGGACCACCTGCCCTCTGGGCTTTGCCCTTGAAGAGCCTGAGAGGGGAGGAGACTCTGCTGGGCCTGCCGCCAGCCAAAACACCAGGTGTCTGGACACTATTCCTAGGCTTGACTTTAAAACCTTAGGAGTTGGAAGCCTTTTTTTCCTGCCAAGAGCCATTGGGTATCTGTAATGTCATTCATGGGGCTTATAAAATCATCAGCTTAAGCATTAGCATGCTGTGGATTCACTGAATTCTGAGCAAGCCTGTAGATGCCCTGGCAAGGCCAGACCACACCACTGCCATGGGCCTTGTAGCATAAGGTGGCCATTCACTGCAGTAACATTTCTTCACACTTCACAGTCACACTGGCACTGTTCCAGCACCAGCTAACTATACCTACTCTTTCATGTTCCTGGGGACCCTCTTAGCTGCTCGTTCCTGGTTAACTCGGAAACACATCCAGAGGCTGCACAAAGCTGCCACAGTCATCAAGCACGCATGGCGGCAGTGGAGAGTAAGTACGACAGCCACAGGGTGGGGAGGTGGAGATTCGGGGCCAGGTGGGTCTGGAAGGCTGGATCTGGAGCAGTGATGCCTCAGGCAGATCCTTCAGCTACCTGGGCCTCGTGTTCCTGTCAGACCAAACACCACTGACACTGTAAGGTAGCTCTGGCTGGTTTTTAACGATTTCTTTGCTTATTTAAAAGGATCCCAAGAGATCTTCCATCTGCTGGTGCCTAAATGACCATAGCAGCCACAGCTGAGCCAGGAGCTCAGGAAACCCAGGCAGGTCTCCCACACGGGGGGCAGGACCCAGGTTCTTGGGCCACCTTTGCTGCTTTCCCAGGCACACTAGCAGGGAGCTGGACTGGAACCAGTGCTCTGATAAGGGATGCCACCGTTACAAGCGACATCTTAACTCACTATCACGGTGCTGGCTCTTCTGGGAAGTTTGAAAGAGCCTATACTGAGCCGTGGAAGCGCAGTCACTGGGTTAAGCAAATTTAAACTAGTCATCAAGGCAGCCACATGAAATATGAGTGCCTGTCTGTGTTCATTCAGTACCTGGCTGCAGCTTCCTGCTACTGATGACTCAAATAAACTGGTCCCTGCCACTCACTTCTGAATTCCCAGCTTCTACCTGGTCATAGGAGGCATTTAGAGAGTGAGTACCTCAAATATATATTATTTAAGAACCAGATTTTATAGAGAGTACATGATTATTTCTCAGGTTAAAACATACATAAGGCCTAGACACAGCTGTCTCGGATATGTAAAAACCTCTAACATTCAGGGAGAGTATTATGAAAAAACTGCAAGGATTTCAACATTTCTTGCTCCAAAATAAGCTTTTAATTTCATTTTCCATGAACTTCCTGATTCCCCTGGCAGGGATGCCCCAAGGCACTTGGCAGCCAGATGGTTTCACTCTGTGAGGCTGATATGTAAGAATTTGCAACAAAACAAAAAGCCTCCACTGAAAGTGAGATAAGGAGTCATGATTGTGGTATAGTACATACAGCTGCCATCCGCAACACCAGGGTACTAGCTCGAAGAATTTTGGCCGTTTCACATGAACTCCCAGTCAAGGATGGCTCAAGTGTCTGGGCCTCTGCCACCCATGTGGGAGACTGGAAAAAGCTCCTGGCTTCAGCCTGGCCCAGTGCTGGCATTGTGGCCATCTGAAGAGTGAAACAGATGAAGATCCCTTTCCATAACTCCATTTAACATAGAAAGCTTTAAGTTGTACCAATAACATGATATTTTCTTTTAAAGATGAGAATGGCCTTTCTTGCGTCTGAAGAACTGGATGGTGTAGAAGAAAAATACTCAGCTGTGGCTCCCCAGTCCTGGAGCGTCTCCCCACTGCGCCCAGAGCAGACCAAGCTCCAGGGGGCAATTGTCCGCCTCTGGCCCCTCGGACTGGTCCTGGCTAACGCGTGTGTGGGCGTCCGTGGCCTTCAGAGGAAACTAGTGGTCTGTGCCTGCCTTCAGCTCCCCAGAGGCAGCCCTCGTGGCTACACTATCCAAACAGCACAAGGCCAGGCTGGGGTCACGTCCATCCGAGCACTGCCTCAGGTAAGCTGCATGTGAGAAAATGGCCACCCTGGCCCAATAGTTCTGGCTTCCTCTTCCCACCCCACTGAGAAAGGCGAGACCAAGCTCAGCATCCTCAGGGGCCTCAGTCCTGCTGGAAAGCCAGCCCACTGCAGGAGGGGGTCATTTCTTCTGCTTTAGCAGAGAATATTGCAGAGCCTTTAAAAACTGCCCCTACATATGACAGCACCTGTTCTGAGTCTTGTATGAGTGGCCAAGGAAGACTCAGCCAGCACACTTGACCTTTCTGTCAGCCCAGCAAGCCAGGCCTCAGGAGAGGAGAAAGCTGTTCTGCCCAAAGCCCAGGGACTGGGTCCTGTGTCCCAGGCATTGGGTGACACTGCCCAAGGAGCAACATCTCTTCAATATCCTACTTCTTTACCTACAGAATGGGCTAATATTCAGTCTATCCACGGGGTCATTGCAAGGAAGTGAAGGAAACAGTATTGCCATCCCAGAGGGATTAATATAGGTCAAATTTAGATACAATCTATCCAGAAAACTTGCAGATTAGCAAGAATATTAACTGCAAGCTAACTGCTTTAGAGTCCCAGGTTAGATAAAGAGAACATTAATCTTGCTTTTGCTTCCCTACCCCCATTCCTGCATCCACTCAGTAAGGTGCCTTTAGGCCCTGGCAGGCCTGAGAACTGCAGTTAAGCTCTCTGTCTCTCTCCTCCCCCTCCCCCTCCAGGGCCCGATAAAGTTTCACTGCAAGAAGTCTCCCCTGCGCCATGCTGACATCTGCCCCGAGCCTCGGCCCTGCCATGTCACTGGCTTTAATCAGATTCTGCTGGACAGACACAGGCCATGACCCCTTCTCAGCCTCATCCTTCACCTGGCCAGGTGATCCTAGGTGCCTTTTGTTTCTGCGGGGTTCCTGCCAACTGCCTTGCCAAAGACATCGAAACCACAGACAGCTGCCAAACTACTCCCACAGCAGCTCCATTCACAGCTGCAGCCAGCAAAGCCAGGGCCCCAAGGCCTTCCTCTCCAGGCTGCAGCTCCGGCGGCGGGGCAGTGGCGGGGGGGGGGGTGTGAGGGGGCAGGGCCACCCACACCTGACATTGCACTACCTGCACAAATCAAACTGGCAGAAGCCATGACCACCAGCCTGGAGTAGTGACTGTCACCTCCAGGGCACCTCATTCCCTACAGGCACTTTTGAAGAAAACTAAGCCAGCCTCAAGGTGGCTGGGGATGGTTTTGCATTTGTTCCTTTTATAAAAGGAATGAAATCTTAGTATTTCATGATAGTACTCATTTAATGTAATTTCAAACACATTTAAGAATCAAGGACAATGAACGTATTTAACAAGCACTCTGTCTTGATATTATTTAATACTGTTGTTTCACTTGATCCACACTGCCACTGATGTCTACCATTACTGTATACTGACTATAAAACTGTCAAAACCACCATCTGAATGTCACATCTACTCGGTATAAAGGGTTTGCCATTTGCAGTCCACTCCATGTGCCTGAGCCCTGAGCCCTGGCAGCTGAGCGGCCTACCTCAGGCGCCTGGGTCCTGCCGCTCCCTGCCTTGTTTCAGGCGCTTCACTCGCTGGTCCCGGGAGCGGGAGCAGCACCTTGGGAGTCGCACAGTGTAACAACCCACGTCAAGACTCGTCACTGCGGGACGGTTCCACAATTTTCAAACAGCAGTCAGCAAACTCCACAAACAGGGGCTCCTGCATGTAGTCTCTCATGAGCTTGGCTTTGTTGTCCCCCTGATCAAGGTTGACGATCAGCTCTCTCAGGTGCGGGTTCAGCAGCAAGCTTCTTAACGCAGCAGAGTCCCCTTAACAAGTAACCCAAAAAAGCCAATGCAAATTTAAGTGGAACCAGAGGGATGGCTGCAAGTTGACTGTTGTATCCCCTTTATACCCACAATTAACCGCAGTGCTTCACAGATGAAAAGGGGAACACTTCAGCCACTAGGTTACAGGGCCAGGCCCCGTTTAATGACTTACATTTCTCTGCTGTATGCAGCATGATTTTGTATCTCAAGGCCTGACAGAGAAATAAACACAACAGACTTACCTAAATTCTTCAAATTCTGCAAAGAAACTCTGTCTTCCTCTTCATCACTATTTAGAAAATCAGCTATGGAGTCATCATCACCTATGGAATCAGAACAGTTAACTGCTTATCATGGGCCAGATCTGACCAGCAGTTCCAATAGGAAAAGCCTGGGCTGACATTCTGACCCAAACATTTAGGCACTGTCACCCACGTGGCAGGCCAGAATGGATATCCTGGCTTCAGCCTGGCTCAGTCCTGGCTGCTGGGGCTTGGGAGGAGCCCCCGCTGTGACTCAGGGCGGTGCCCGAGACCAGCAGTATGGGACAGTAGGTTAGGCTATCACCGCAGCTGCTCTGCTTCTTTCCCACCCAGCTCCCTGCTAAGCCACCTTGGGAAAGCAGGGCCCCTGCCAGATGGAGCTCCGGACCACTGAACACTGCGCCATCTGGGGAGTGAACCGGTCAAGAAAACATTCTTCTCTGTCACCTTCAAATGAATAAACCTTGTTTAAAAAGGTTCTTATAGGGGGCCTGGCCCTGTTGTCTAGTGACTAAAATCCTGCCTTGCACAAGCCAGGATCCCATATGGGTGCCAGTTCATATTCTGGCGGCCCTGCTTCTTGCCCTGCTCCCTGCTTGTGGCCTGGGAAAGCAGTTGAGGACGGCCCAGAGCCTTGGGATCCTACACCCGTGTGGGAGACCCAGATGACGCTTCTGGCTCCTGGCTTCAAATTGGCTTAGCTCTGACAGTTGCAGCCACTTAGGGAGTGAACCAGTGGATGGAAAATCTTTTACCTTTCATTGTAAATTACTTTCCAAAAAAACAATAAATAAATCCATACGCCCCCCCCCCCCCAAAACTCTGACAGGGTCCCATCCCCAGCACACTGCCCTGCCCCTCTGCCCACCTGACACTGGTCACACAGCCATCCTCTGCAGCTCGCTCTCCCCCACTTGTGCACCTTGTGGCCCGCTTAGCCTGTTGGAAATCCTGTCTGTGAAGTCCACCAACTCACCCTGGTTCTCCACCGGCTTCACAGTTTTAGCAGCAAGAGCTGAACGTTTTCTCTCAACGGGTCGAGTTTCAGGATTGCACTTCTCTGAAAGAGACACACGTCCGGCATCAGCTCTCCCAGGCCTAGGAGGCCGCAGCACCTTGTGGCACGTGTACATGAGTACGTGTGTGTTGGGGAGAGTGAGCCATCTCACCTAGCAGGCCAGCTAGGGAGACAGGGCTGTCCCGAGTGGCACACAGACTTCAAAAACATCAAGCCAAACTTGCAGGTGGGCTTCCGATGGAAGCCACGGAGCCATGCTAGAGGTAAGGGAGGAGAGCTGGTCTAGGTCCCGCAAGGAGGCCAGGACACAACACGCAGGCCTCCAAGAGGCGCTGCGTGGGAAGGGAAGCATTCCTGGCGGTGGGAATGGGCCAGGGCTGGAAAGGCTGGGTCAGGCACAGCACATGGCCGAGAGCAACTGCGCGCTGACCAGGTGCACAGGTGCACGTGCTCAGATCCAACATGCCAGCTGGCAAGCAGTGGCTTAACACGCTACAGCACCAATCAATCTTACAACTTGCTACGTCTCATTCCGTTTAATGAGCTTCCCTTCTTAAAGTACTTAAAACTTTTAAGAATTAGATGCACAGGGTCCCAGCTGCTCCACCTCCCTTCGGCCTGGGAAAGCGGCGCAGGGCGGCCCCAGGTGCTTGGGCCTTTGCACCCAGAAGGGAGGCAAGAGAAAGCACCCGGCTTGGCCCGACGCAGCCTGGGCCGGTGCGGCAACTGGGGAGGGAAGCAGCAGATGAACGTCCGTCCCACCCCCCCAACACACTCTTTCAAATAAAAATAAACCTTAAAAAAAAAGTGTCTGGGCTTCTTCAGATGCAGATAAACATCCCTCTCTAACTGCGGGGACGCTCACAGACTATCCGGCCGTGGCTTCTCTTTATCCTGACCAGGTCTAGCGCTTTCCCTCGAGCCCGTTGTTCCCACCAACACACGGCTTAGAGGGGCGCTCGGACCCGGGAGAGGGGAGCTCGGACCCGGGGGAGCCGGAGCGCGGAGCCCGTGGCGCGGGGAGCTCACCTCGGTGCGTCCGGAAGCAGGCCAGCGAGCAGCTGCAAGGAGACGGGCAGGCGTCAGCCGGGGACCCCGCCGGACCCAGAGCCTCCCGCCCTCCCGCCGGGGCTCCCGGGCCCCACGCCGCCCGCCCTCCCCCGGTCCCCCCGGGGCTCCCGGGCCCGCCGCCCTCCCCCGGTCCCTCGGCCTCCCGGGCCCCACGCCGCCCTCCCCGGTCCCTCGGCCTCCCGGGCCCGCCGCCCTCCCCGGTCCCTCGGCCTCCCGGGCCCGCCGCCCGCCCTCCCCCGGGCGGCCCCGCTCACTAGGGCGCGCGGCAGGCCGGGCAGCGGTACTTGGGCTTCTCCAGACAGACCACGCAGACCACGGAGCTGCAGCGCAGCGACGCCATTCCCTTCCCGACGACGACGACGCCTCCTCCCGCCGCGAGTCCGCATGCGCTTCTCCTTCCGCTTCCTAAACCGGGACCAATCACCATTCAGCATGCACAGGCAAAAGCAATAGATTGCGTCCGCGTGCGAGCCCAGTCGTGATGAGACGAGCGCCGATGCACTCCATTCGCGCTTGAATGCAGATTCTCAGGCTGTCCGTAGTGAGGTCACGTTTGAAAAGTCCTGTCCCGGTCCTCGCCTGGCTGCGGGGAGCAAGCAGGTCGGAAAGAATCAAGCACAACACTCCCTTCACAGTCCAGCTCGAACTCTGTGAATCTTGCCAGGACCTTGGATATTCCCGCCCATCTCCTCAGCTTATCTGAAGGGAGAGCAGGCCAGCCAGTCGGGCCAGCAGACCACAACCAGAGGGCCACGAGCTACAGGGACAATTGCTCTGCCCCACTAGGCCATTCTTCCTTGAGGAAAGAGAGATGAGGGCTGATGGCACAAATGTGGGCTGTTGTGTTCTTCTTTTACTCATTAAAGATGCATTATTGGGCCCGGCGCGGTGGCGCAAGTGGTTAAAGGTCCTCGCCTTGCATGCCCGGGATCCCATATGGGCGCCGGTTCTAATCCCGGCAGCCCCGCTTCCCTTCCAGCTCCCTGCCTGTGGCCCAGGAAAGCAGTCGAGGACGGCCCAAAAAGCCTTGGGAACCTGCACCCCCGTGGGAGACCCAGAAGAGGCTCCTGGCTTCGGATCGGCATAGTTTCGGCCCGTTGCGCTCACTTGGGGAGTGAATCATCGGACGGAAGATCTTCCTCTCTGTCTCTCCTCTCTGTATATCCACCTTTCCAATAAAAAAATAATAAAAATAAATCTTTAAAAAAAAAGATGCATTATTTATTTTTTATTGGAAAGACAGATACACTCAGAGTAGGAGAGACAGAAAGGAAGATCTTCCATCCTATGATTCACTCCCCAAGTGGCCACAACAGCCAGTGCTGAGCCAACTCGAAGCCAGGAGCCAGGATCCTCTTCCAGGTCTACCATGCGGGTGCAGGGTCCCAAGGCTTTGGGCCGTCCCTGAGTGCTTTCCCCAGGCCACAAGCAGGGAGCTGGATGGCAAATGTGGCTGCCGGGATTAGAACCGGTGCCCATATGGGATCCCAGTGCGTGCAAAGCAAGGACTTTAGCCACTAGGCAACCATGCCAGGCCCTGTTTTCTTATTTTTAGCTACTCTATTTGAATGGGTGACAGAGAGAGGCAGAGAAAGAATTTGCAGCTGCTGGTTCATTCCCCAGAAGCCTGTCACATCTGGGGCTGGGCCAGGCTGAAGCCAGGGGCACTATCCTGGTCCCCCAGGTGGGCAGTAGGGACCTAAGCACTTGGGCTGTTATCTGTCACCTTCCAGGCACACTGGCCAGAAGCCATTTGGAAGCAGAGTATGAGGGACTATGACAGGGGCTGCCGCCGTCTCAGGCTGCCTGACACACCATACCGTAACATACCTTGCTATAGTACTGACAGATGACTACTGAGCAGTGGCCACGTGCCCTGCCTGGCCCTGGCTCTGGGGACCCCTCAGATTGGAAGTCACACTCTGTTCTCCAGGAGCTGAGGGCATGGAGTGAGAGCAGGACAAGGCGGCAGAGACAACTGACTCACTCTCAGGGCTGTGTTGGCATTAGTTAGCACATCCCAAGTATAAGCATGACACCTTAGGGCCCTTGCCATGGCCGCAATGAATCTCATACGAGCACCAGTTTGTGTGCTAGCTGCTCCACTTCCCATCCAGCTCCCTGCCTGTGGTTTAGGAAAGCAGTCAAGGACGGCCCAAAGCCTTGGGACCCTGCACCTGCGTGGGAGACCCGGAGGAGGCTTGAGGCTCCTGGCTTCAGATGAACTCAGCTGTGGCCATTGCAGCCACTTGAAGAATGAAATAGTGGATGGAACATTTTTCTGTAAATCTGCTTTGCCAATAAGAATAAATAAATCTGAAAGAGAGAGAGAGAATGAGAGCTCCTGGAATGTTACAGCCTTACATTCTAGGAACCCCCACCCGCCTCACCCCTCACCCTAACCCTGATGGATTTCACTGACCAAGGACGGGGTGGCCTGATGGAGGGGGTTCCCAGCAGGCGGATCTGGAGAGATGAGCAATCATGTTTGTCAAGGGCCTCCTTCTCTTTACAGCCCTTGGAAGGACACAAGAACTGTAAGCTTGGGAGGAAGCTCCGGGAAACTGAGGAGCTCCCTTGTAGCAAGACAAGTGTTTGGAGAGGATGATGGGGAGCCTCGGGCAAAGGTTCTGAGGCAGTTAGACTGCTGGAACTCCCTGATCCTCAAACCTTGATAACAGATCAGAGGTGCTTCTTCTCCCCAAGCTGTTAATTATTAGTAGCCTGCTACAAGAGCACATTGTCTACTGACTGACCCCCCTGCATGCTAGCAAATAAGCCACATCCTGTTTCAAACCCTCTATCTGTATGCTTACGTGATCCTCGCTCTTTAAAAGTTTTTTGCTGCTAATAAACTTTGGTTGTTGACCATCAGTCAGAAGTCCCTGCATATGATTATCACTGACTCAGTGCACCAAGTACCCCGCTACTGGACAGTGAACCCTTGGTGATCTCGAGGCCACCAGTGTGCCCTCATCTGCAAGAACACCTTCTTGGGCCCGGCGCAGTAGCCTAATGGCTAAAGTCCTCGCCTTGTAAGTGCTGGGATCTATATGGGCACAAGTTTTAATCCTGGTGGCCCTGCTTCCTGCCCAGCTCCCTGCTTGTGGCCTGGGAAAGCAGTCGAGGATGGCCCAAAGCCCTGGGACCCTGCACCTGTATGGGAGACCCAGAAGAAGCTCCTGATGGGCTCTTGGGTTCAGATTGGCTCCAGCCGTTGTGGCCACTTGGAGAGTGAATCAGCAAGTGGAAGATCTTCTTCTCTGTATATCTGACTTTCCAATAAAAATAAATAAATATTTAAAAAAAAGAATCCCTTGTATGTTGGCTGTTCCACTTTTGGGAACCCACAAGGACCTGCCCCCTGTGTGACTTGGCCCCCAGGGCACCTTCATCTAATTAGCAAGAATGGCTGGGCACTTGTCTGGCAGTGGGGAGGCAGAGAGGAAGCCAGTTGTCAACTCAAAGAGCTATTTGCGACACACAGATAGAGCCTGACTTCTGGGTCTCCATTCTGACCCCAACACAGCAGGCCTCATGACTCAGGTATTTTCGCCTTTGGCCTGGGTGTGCTGGGCTCGGAGGGGACAGATGGCAGACCTTACATGTCAGGAGCCGTGGGTGCAGTTTCCAGGGCTCCACCAGAGGGCAGCAGTGTCCGCAGCGTCAGCGGCGAGCCCGGAGGCGCAGAGAGGGCCAGACCCGCCCAGCGCCGCCAGAGGGCGCTGCGAGCTTTGATGTCTGCAGCCCGGTAGGGCCCAGCGAGCCCAGACACTGACCCTCACCCTGGGAGCATTGCTGGCGGCCAGGGGAGGCAGTGGAGAGCACGGTCCCCGACTGGGTGCACACTCTCCCTGCGGGAAAGCAGGGCCTGAGCTGGCCTCAAAATGAGAATGGCTGCTCAGGGCTGGTGCCTGGTGAAAGCCCAGTGGGCCTCAGGGAGTGACATACAGTGGTTCACTCCTCAAATGCCCCCGGTGGCTGAAGCCAGCAGCCAAGAGCAGTGCAGGTCCCCCATCTGGTTAGCAGGGACTCAAGCATCTGAGCTGTCACCAGTACCCTTACCAGCAGGAAGCTGGGGCAGGAACCACGGCCAGGAACCAATCGCAGGTCCTCCGCCGCAGGATGGAACTTATTCATTTTAACTTATTTCAAAGGCAGAATTTTGAGAGAGAGAGAGAGACATCTCTTTCATTTGCTGATTCATGCCCCCCAGAAGACTGTAACAGCTCGGGCTGGACCAGGCAAAATCCAGGAGCTTCTTCTGGATCTCCCCCAGGAGTACAGAGGCCCAAGCACTTGGACCACCTTCGGCTGCCATCCCGGGCATATTAACAGGGAGCTGGGTGGGAAGTGGAGCAGCTCAGACTACAACCAGTGCCCATATAGGATCCTGGCACCACAGCTGGCAGCTTTACACAGCTTAGATACAAGTGTCTTAGTCACCATCTGAACCACTTGCCTTCAAAATGTAGCTGCATGAGAAGTCAAAATATGTGGGACACAACTGAAGCTCATAGCAGTAAGATGTCTGATACGGCAGTGGCTTTCCACTAGGTCTGCTCCCTGAATCCCAGGACAGCTGGCCACATCTAAAGACACCTGGGGCTGTCACAGCAAGTGGCTGAAGGCTACAAAATCAAGCAACTAGAGGGACACTGTGCAGCACTCTGCAGTGCAAGGGATTAAACAGACCCCAATATCCATGTGGTGCTAGAAGGTCTCTAATAAGAGGTTAAGGCTTCTTTATAAAGCAGCTAGTAAACAACAACAACAACAGGGTCAGCACCACGGCTTAGGCTAACCCTCCACCAGTAGCACCAGCAGCACCAGCCTCCCATATAGGCAATGGTTCTAGTCCCGGCTGCTCCACTTCAGGTCCAGCTCCCTGCCTGTGGCCTGGGAAAGCAATAGAGGATGGCCCAAGGCCTCTGGCCCTGAACCCATGTGGGAGACTCTGCCACCAGATTAAGAAGGATAAAAATGAGAAAGGAGGGATGGGGGAGGCCTGTGGGAGGGGAGAAAGGCATCTGGGGTGTGTGTGTGTGAGGGGTGGGGGAGTCAGGCATCACCTGTGTGTGCTGTGCGAGGGCCTCTGGAGATCAGTACAGCTGTGGATGCACAGCAGCAGCACAGCTGGGAAGTGGCTCCAACCAGAGTCCTGTCCAGACCCCCATGACCCTACAGGTGAGCATAGACATCCCCCCCCACCAAGACAGGCACCCTGGGAGAATCTGCTCTGCCAGGTGGCAAGGGGGCTGCCCAGCCTGACAATGCTGGGAAATTCTGTACGCTGCACACCCAGCACGCCCTCTGTGCAGGAGAAGAGGGAGATGCTGAACGAGGGGCAGGGGGAACTGGGCCCCAATCTTTGGAAA